CGTTTTAACTACAAATTAAACCTTTTTAACTTCAATTGAACCGTTTTAACTTCAAATTAAACCTTTTTAACTTCAATTGAACCGTTTTAACTTCAAATTAAACTTTTTTAACTTCAAATTAACACTTTTTAATTTAAAATTAAACCTTTTTAACTTCAACTGAACCGTTTTAACTTCAAATTAAACCTTTTTAACTTCAACTGAACCTTTTAACTTCAAATTAAACCTTTTTTAACTTCAATTGAACCGTTTTAACTTCAAATTAAACCTTTTTAACTTCAACTGAACCGTTTTAACTTTAAATTAAACCTTTTTAACTTCCATTGAACTGTTTTAAATTCAAATTAAACCTTTTTAACTTCAAATTAACACTTTTTAATTTAAAATTAACCCTTTTTAACTTCAACTGAACGGTTTTAACTTCAAATTAAACCTTTTTAACTTCCATTGAACCGTTTTAAATTCAAATTAAACTTTTTTAACTTCAAATTAACACTTTTTAATTTAAAATTAACCGTTTTTAACTTCAATTTAAACCTTTTTAACTTTAATTGAACCGTTTTAACTTCAAATTAACACTTTTTAATTTAAAATTAACCATTTTCAACTACAAATTAACTTTCTTTATTTTCAAAGGAACCATTTTTTAACTGCATATTAACATTTTTTAATTTCAAATTAATCCTTTCTTTAAAGTATTAAAAACTGAGGAGTTGGTTTGATGTATAAACATGTGAAGTAAAATTCCTGTATATTTGCGATTTACTTTGAAATACAATTGGGCTTTTAGAATACGATAGGAAAATTATTTATCATTAAAATTAACTTCACTAGTTTTCGTGGTCCGCTTGACCAATTACTATAATTCAATTAATTAAGGTTTTTAGTTGAGATAAAAAAGTCAGTGTCACGAGCGAGATTCGAACCCACGACCTTCGGCTAGATACGCCGCTGCTCTACCACCTGAGCTATCGTGACCTCGATCCACTCGGACACTAACTTCCCATCTCAATTCAAAAGGTGGAGTTATCAAGCCGAAGGTCATGGGTTCGAATCCCGCTCGTGACACTGACTTTTTTATCTCAACTAAAAACCTTAATTAATTGAATTAACTCATAAAACCACCACACGATAATTACAATTATAAGTAAAAATTATTTAGAAATGAAATATTCTTCTTTTAATTTTAGAAGTTCTAAAACATAAAATACCACATGAAAATTTATTGATTGTTGGGTTAGCAAGAAAATAATGACTTTTTTGCAGAATGTATTTCCATTTTTTACCTGGCATGTTTTTAACTATTCGAAGATGTATTGTCCTTTGCTCGAAATGACTTTTTGGCTATCTTTCAGGTTGCATGTCTATTCCTTTTGCATAAAAATTCCATCTTTTGACTTCAGAAACTTTTGAACAGCTGTTTGGTTTGCTCACTGAGCGAATATCTACGCACCTTTTAATCCTTTTTTAAGATTTCCTTGTCCACAGAGTGTCATTGCATGGATCTCAGCTGGGAAAATTTATTGTATGAGGCCTAGAGGTTTCGCTCGGTCCAAATTTGCGCAGACTCTTCGGTCGAGGAGAGCCTTCTAATAATAATGTGCCGCGCTTTGTACGTTATTATTATTTTCCTTTATCTTTCCATTGTGTTCTCTTTTCAATAGTTTTAGTCATCTCAGTAATTTTAATTTTGTAGAAAATTCCAAAAATCCCAAAGATAGAGTCTTGAGGAACACCGGTGACGTCGCTCAGTTGGGAAAGGATCGAAGGGGATTCGGTCTAGACTTGTGATAGTAGACTATTTTTATTTTATAGGGAAATTGTATTCCATCGTCCTACTGGGTACCACTAGTACCATTATGCCATTATGGTATACCATTATACCAAACGCTGCATGCTGTCATCTACTGTCCTGACTTGGCAGTTCTGAAACCAAACTGCTTTGGCATGATGACGTTTTCATGCAGGTGAGCATAACACGTTGACTTAAGTAGGCTAATGTGTAGCGGTTTTAGTCTGATGAAGACTTGCCGTATTTCACTCTTGGGGTTTTCCAGGACAGAAATAGTAACCAAAAACCACGATGAAGATATTTATGAATTTGACTAGGCGTTTTGAAAAGAGTGGAATTTTTATTTATATACATAACTGTGAAGTATAGCTAAGGGTACAAAATCCTCTTATCAATAAGGGGAAAGTCGCTAAATTCGAGCACTTTTCTCTAAAACAACGATCAATTTGATTTAAATTTTATATGCATGTTTAAGAATGCATGATGAATATTTATAGCTCGCATAATGTTTCTAAAGAAAAATAGTTTTTAAATTTATAAGAATTTTAAAATTGTAAAAAATTGTCAATTTTTTATAACTTGAAACTTTTGTTCTCATAAACTTAGATTATTTTTAAAATTTCTTAGATCCTAACTATTCAAAAACATCTAATTAATCGTTCTAAATATGAATTATCCAAATAGGTTGAGAAGATTCAGAGTAAAGTGTTCTTTTATGCGTGAATACAAGATTTTTTAGGGGACAGCGGTGGCCGATCGGTTGGGGCTGTCGGTTCTGGGTTCGAAACCCGGAACGCCCATGGATTTTTAATTGAGAATGTTAATTAAGAAAAAGTACTGTAATGTGGTTCGATCCGTCTTCCGCTATACTCAACGGGTAGTTGGACGTTAACACCTCCTGGAAGCGACGAATAACAAAAATAAACCTCATAATTTTTCATTAAAGGGTTATTTTATGTCAAATACCTCATTATCCTAGGAAGGATATTTGAATAAATAGTACACAGGTGAATATATTATATTTCCATTGTTCAAAAGAGTAATTCATCGTTAAATATTAAATTCACTAATTTCGTGGTCCGCTTGACCAATTAATACATTACAATTAATTAAGGTTTTTAGTTGAGATAAAAAAGTCAATGGCACGAGCGGGATTCGAACCCACGATCTTCGGCTAGATACGCCGNGAGGTCACGATAGCTCAAGTGGTAGAGCAGCGGCGTATCTAGCCGAAGATCGTGGGTTCGAATCCCACTCGTGTCATTGACTTTTTTATCTCAACTAAAAACCTAATTAATTGTTAAATATTAGTATGTAAAGGGACTGATAAACCTGATACTCACATCATTTCCAAATTTACGGCGTGTTTTCGTCAGAAGAGAGTAATTCATGAAACTATATTACCTGAGCGTCAAATTGGTAGGAAGGGATGTGCCACGGCTGTGCGGTTACGACTCTCCTCCCTCCCCGGTAATTTGGAAATTATCGGGGATTAATAATATTGTAGGGGTGGTCCTTGTTAGCTCGACGCTTGTTAACCGGAGAAATCAATTAATGAAGACCGAAACACCCACCTTGTCGACACCCTGGTATAGTTTTGGGCGGTTGTAGATTGGTGGATATCCAATACGAACCTCAAATGAACTCACATTGACGTGACCAAATCAATTTTCAAAATGTAACTTTAAAAACTATCGAAAATCCAATTATAACTACTTTATTTGCTACAATTGATTGTAGTTTACGTTTTCATTTTGTGTCACTGCTGGTTGAAATGTACGAGCTTAATTAATAAATATTACTTGCAGAATAATCCAAAGCTGTGCAGAAATAGAAATTTTTGAAAATCCTGCTGTATTTTCCTTATTCGGGCGAATTTTATAGTCAACTCTATGTAGGAAATCTAGCAATAGCAGTAAAATGGGCAGACTAGGATGACCGGTGACGTCTAAACTACATTGTCATCAACTCAACAAAAAAAAATTCGAAAGATACATTTTATTATTAATTGCAATACATAATAATATAAAGAAATTAGTATTGTTAGGCGATCCACTTATGAGGAACCTCTTTATGTTGACATTGTAGACCTGGCTGGGATCTGCAGTTAACAGACGCTAGAGTCATAATAAATTTCATTTTCACTTCTTTTTTCTTAACTTGCTGACGAATAATATACTCCCTCGCAGATCTGGCAGCAAAACATGGTCGGTTTGCATGTTCATAACCATCTGAAGAGGCACTACAGCTATCACTTGAAGAAGTATTGAAGTCACTATACGCACCAGCACATGTCGTATAATTGTAGCTTCCTCCACCGCCGCTTGTTTAGTTGTTGTTCGTGGAGATTGAGCGTCTGATCTTGATATGAAGGTGCTTGCGATGGATATCTCATATAGGGGGCTGCTGTGTAACTGCAATCTCCATCAGGTTGACCGCGGCTCCCGACGTAATAGTCCACTTTACTGGCTGTTAATCGTCATCACCATAACCACCATCAACATCACCATAAGACTCACCATATAGCTGAGATCTGCATGAAGTTTATGGTGGATGGTTGTCATAAGAGAGGTATAGTGCTGAATATCCTTCGGATTTTGAGTATTCGGATTGGACGACAAATCTACTCCTTTTGGTAGAAACTGGATTTGGAAGGTAGAACAGCCTTTTGCCTGGCATTTGGGGTTGCCACGTTTGAACCCGGCCCTGGCTTCAGGGCTACCATCACTTTCTGCCTCGAAATCCACCGAGGGTTGCTTGCATTCCTTCTCGTTTTACGAATGCTCCTCGCCCTCCTTTCTAGCTTGGGCCTTCTCCTCTACGCCTTCTTTATTGGGGTCGGTCACGAGAAAAGCCACCACTACCACGTGGGCCACCATCCCTCATAGGTCCTCCACGACCACCTGTAATTCCTGAAAATCACGTTGAAGGTGCCGTGTCAAACGCTTACAACCGCAGGCGTATACACAACGATTGTCCTTGGTATCCCTCTTTTTTCAATTATATGGGTTGCATCCCAACTTTGAATAACGTTTATAAGATACGGTTCTTTTCATTAAATCTTATCGCACAGGTATGATTTTTGAAAGGCTTAATGCTGCCTTTTCACTTAAAGGAATATGCTGAAGCCATTCAAAAAGACGCCATGTACTTGAAGAGATGAAAAATAATGTTGGTAAATTTTTTCTACTGAAGTTACACGTCGTTCTATTTATTTATTTATTTTTTTTGTTTTTTTGTATTTTCCTTTTTGGTATAAGTGTTTCTGTGCCGGCCACCAAGTCATTTAAGTTTCTTTCACATCCGCTTTTTAATCATACAGTTACAAACTCCTTAATTTCCAAGATATCACTTATCTTATAAAGATCAACCACTTTTTTAGGCCGTGAGAAATCTGTGATAATGATGGTGATAGGGCAATTACTAGGAAGCAGGGATTTGTAGTGCCTAAGGAGGCATGGTGGTAGTTCGTGGTCCAACCATGTATTTAGGTCTTTCCAATGAACGAGCCGTGTCTTATTGACATTATTCCAACATTGATGTCGCTTATGTATAAAAGGAAAAAAGTGGATCTGAGGAGAGACCATTGTGATACGCCTAAGGTTGTATGCGTTTTACCCGGTACCTTCAACGTGTACCGTCAGGGTTCACAAGTGGTCATGGATGACCTATGAGAGTTGATGACTCTCGTGGTCGTGGTAGTTTTTCTCGAGAACAACCCCAATAAAGAAGGCTTACAGGGGGCACCCCAGGCTAGAAAGGAGGGCGAGGAACATTCGTAAAACGAAAACGAATGGAAAACAACCTATAGCGGATTGCGAGGCAGAAAGAAGTGATGGCCCTGAAGCCAAAGGGCGAATTCACTTGTGGCAACCCCAATACCAGCCAGAAGGCTGTTCTGCCATCGAAATCCAGTTTCTAACAAAAGGAGTAGATTTGACGTCCAATCCGAATAATCATAATCCAAAGGATACTCAGCACCATATCCCTCTTATGACGGCCATCCTCCACAAACTTCATACGGATCTTAGCCATATGGTAATCTTATGGTGATGGATGACGGTGCTTATGGTGATGGCGATTAACACCCAGTAAAGGGAACTATTAGGTCGGGAGCAGCGGCCAACCTGATGGAGATTACAGCCACACTCCAGCCCCCGATATGTGACATCGCGAGGCCCTTCATACCATGATCAATATGCTACCTCCTCGCTATTTTTTGTTCTTATTTTTTTGTGTAACTAGTTTATGAAGCAGTGTATTTAAACATTCTGCTCCAAAACATTTGTGTGGTTGTAAAAACGGGTGTGACTCAAAAAACTTAAATTCGAGGTGGTAAAATCGGCAAATAGTTTTTAGTTTTAATGTTACTTATTAAAATTTTGCTTCAGAATATTGCTTTCAAAGTGAAATATTTTCTCTTAGATTTGTAATTTGACCAAAAGAAATAATATGTGCGTTTAAGGTCATGAATTTGTAGATGCGATTTTCTTGTCTCTGCGATGTGATGAAGCTTTTTGGGCTGTTTAAGTTCCACCTTTCACGAATGGGAACCCGTCTATACAGAAATTACACAGACCAGCCAATTGAATCTTGGTCTGTTTATGCTCAGCGCGATACAGTCTTCAATCCTCCTGAGCCTCTTCTCGAGCTTTCTTCTCTCCAAGTCTAGACCTCTGAAACAATTACAAAATTATCTATCAGACATGATTTTAATAAAGTGCGTATGTGTGTTTGTGTCTGGGATGATCGTTGAAATTGAAACCGAGGGAAAAATTGTGTCCGAAGCGTTAGAGCAAAACGAGGAGATAATATAAACTGCACTTGAGATCGGGAGAGCCGAAAATAAAGCGTACACGACAATACATTACGCTATTATGTCTATCATCGAACTTCTCAGTGAGTCCCCCGTACACAACGCATCCATAGTCAAATTGGGGGAGAACAAGAGAGGAAAGTAGGTGTTTACGGCGAGAGAAGGTGGCTGCCATGATGAGGTTTCGTCTGATCAAGTCCAAGGTTCGTGACAATAGTTCGGTTCATGTTTAGTTTCCCCAAAGAGGAATCCCATATGTCTAATACGTATCGTGGTTTGAAATGGCCCCACCTATTGCAGGCAATACATTCTTCTTTCTTGGCTCCTCTATAAAACAATTTTTTTCCCATTACGCATCCTATATTTATAATCTGTTACCGCCTTCTGTACACATTCATTCGCATCCTTCTGATCTCTAATCCCTCATACAAATCAACCGTTTTAGCCCTTCCTACAACCTCTGAAATTCCCTACATCACTCCATTCGCCGAGCCTCAACCCTTCGAGCTTTAAGTCCCGTCTTTTTTACTACCTCCTTAACTTATTTAACCCCGAGTATGGTTAATTTTCTGTTAATTCCCCCCCCGTCTTGGTTGAAATAAAATAATTAAATATTTAATTATACTATATATTTATACTATATACTATATTTTTATACTATAAAAAATTAAATAGTGTCACGAGCGGGATTCGAACCCACGACCCTTCGGCTGACTATGCCACTGCTCTGTAATTAATTGAGAAAAATAACTTGGTCAATTGACTACTATAAATGGTTTTATTTATATATTCTTTTTGACACGCATTGTGGCAAATTTTGAACTGTTTTGTTAATCAAGGAGGCCCAAAACCCCATTTTCTCGGACTTGGTTTCGGGAGCAGAAAACCTGGAAAAGTGAATTGTAAACGACAGTTCCTTTAGAAAAAATTATTGATCATTAGAAGTGTTAGGGCTGTAAAAACTTTATAATCAAAATATTACGAAAACACCTGTTTTAATTAAAACTATCGGTATAATATTACTTTATGTAAATCCTCAGAAAACTTTCCATAAATGGCCCTTACCACAGGTTTAACTTTCCCAAGCGCTTGTCCTTCGAACCTTTATATCAATTACAGCACTTAATTACGTCTGGCTCGGTCCCCTGATTACACACCGGGCAGAGTTTTCATTTACGCCTGGTCGCTAAAGTAAAAAAAGAACCTTTAACGCAAACAATACCTCTTAACTTTTAATTAAATTTCGTATTTTTAAATAACAAGACTACCGCAATTTTGCCCTTTAACTCGAATCCTATCCAAGCTATGGCCAACATCAGACACGGATTGAGCTTATCGGCTCGTCTAAAAAGTGAAGGACTGAATGAAGAAACTCACATTGAAAAAACAGTCTTGACTTCCATTGTACATCAACAACAAAGAGATACCGAACCGTGCAAATCAAATGCTTAGAACTGTACTTAAATAACTGCTAACGTGGATCCCCCCCCACAAGACTTAAGAGGCAGCAACTAGTAGCAAGTCAATGGCGGTGCAAGTGTTCTTCGACAGCTATGGTCAATGACAAGGTCACAAAGGACGGTTCTAAGGAACATGTGGCACCATCCGCCCAATTCTTTGGATAAAAGTACAAAAAGAAACCGAAAAGTGATGGCAAAACATATGGATACGAATCCCGGACGCTAATGAATCCAATCTAACGAACTTCGAAAATGAACGATTGTTGATGTGAAGGTGTTACAAGCTGCAAACCCTTAAGTGATGCACAAAAAGAAAAAGAAAAGTACCAGGTTGGAATTATTTTGGATATAATATTTATTTTATACTAAAGAAATGAAAATATTCCAGGTTATATCGCGTGATATTTATAAATGGGTTGGTGAATGAGCTCGAACCTCTCGTAGTTTTCTAATTTCTACGGTATTCAAGGTTCAGCGGAAGAAATCGAATGTAGCGCATCGAATTGTATAGGGTTTTTTTATGCCAGTAAAAGCAGGGAAAATACTTCATTTTCTCTTAAGTCAAGTATACTTAAAGTTATGCGACGCCGGTTTTTTTTGTCGTATATAAAGGTAATAATCCAAAATTGGAAAATTCGGAGAGGCGAAACGTTTAAACAACATTATAGTTGTAACCATACCGTCGGGCTTTTACGTTGAGCGAGAAGAGAGGGAGGCGGTGGATTCCTGGACGAAATCTAGGCATTCCTTTTCCAGAAGGTCCCCCTTCCTCCAACAACCCCTAACAATGCCGAGTCTCAGTGCGACTAAGACACGAGGGGAGTTCGCCAGCGGCACTCTTTGAACCATCGACGCCTTGCAAATCTAATTGCCGGTAAGACGTGAGGCTTTTTCACAGCTCATCCAGAAATCCTTCATTCCTCCAGGATCCTTCTCGGGAGTCAAATCCTGTTTTATTCACCTTATTCTCAGAGTTGAAGAATGCCGGGCGATTTTTTTTTTTTTAATTTCCCGGTCTATTCTCCTTTTAAAACGGCAATTTAGCCTTTAACGGCCGGAGACGGACTAAACTAGTTTGGACTAGGGCATTGGCAAAGAAGGGAAAAAATGTTAACAATTCTCTCGAAATTATTCGTAAACTTTGTTCTTTCTCACTTATTTTATTGCTGGCAAAAAAACACCAGCCTATAAAAAGTATGAGCTTTAAATAAATACGTTAAATTGTGTAGAACTTTTTGGAAAAATTTGTAAATGGGATCATAGGAAAATCAGCAGCGGCACCAAAGTTTTCAACTTTGCCTTTTACGACTGCTCACACCGAATGATATAATCTATCTAGGTCCATTATAGGCTTTTTTCATGAAAGATTACATGAAAGGTTTAAAAAAAATGCGGAGTAGACCTTAAAAAGTTTTTATTAAATTAATTTATTTCCTTCATGAAATCTGTGATATTTTGGAACAGTTACTGATTGTAAGTAATAAATTAGAAACGAACGTAATTTTCGACGTCTGAAGAGAGAGAGAGAGAGAGAGAGAGAGAGAGAGAGAGAGAGAGAGAGGAAGAGAAAGAAAGCGGGTAGGAGAGAAAGAAAGCAAGAGCGATAGGAAAAGAGAGAGGAAGTGAGAAAAAGATGGAGAGAAAGGGTGTGGGAGAAAGAGAAAAGTATTGAGAGAATGTAAGAGAAAGGGAGAGTGATAGAGAGAGAGAAGCAGAGAAAGAAAGAGAGAGAGAAAGGGGTGAAAGACTGAGAAAACGAGAGAGACAGAATGTGAAAGAGGTAGTGAGTGAGAGAGAGAAAACTAGAAAAAAGCACAGTGCTACAGTTTTTTTTCCGTCAAACTAACCATTTTTTACATCAAACAAACGTTTTAATTTCAAGTTAACCCTTTTTTAACTTCAAATTAACTTTTTTAATTTGACATTAAACATTTTTAATTTCATATTTACCTTATTTTATTTCAAAATAACCTTTTTCACTTCAAATTATGTCTTTTAATTTCAAACTAACCATTTTTAATTTCAAAGCAGGCCTTTTAATTTAACATTAACCCTTTTTAACTGTTTTCACTTTACTGCAATTAATTGCAATTAAAATTAAAAATTTAATAAAATTCAGTATAAAAATAAAGAATTCTTCTTTTATTTTTGATATTTGTTTTTCAAAAATAGAACATGGTTCTCACCAAATAAAAATGTATTACAATTAAAATTAAAAGTTATATAAAATTAAATATAAAGCATTCCTATTTTAACTTGAGAATTTTTTTAAGTATAAAATTGTTTCTTGTCTAATACACCACATGAAAATTGATTGTGTTTTGAAATTATATCTGTTTATATAATTTATTTATTGTTTAAGAATTATTTGTTTATATTATTTAATTTTATGTAATTTTTTATTTTATAAAATCCCAAATACTTTATTTTTAAAAAATCTCAAATTTACAGGAGTTTTACTTTACATGATTATATTTCATACCATCTGTTTTTTTCATGCTTTAAAGAAATAGTTTATTTGAAATTAAAGCTAACCATTTTTAATTTCAAAGTTGGCCTTTTAATTTCACATTAACCTTTTTTAACTTTGCTTGAAAATTAATTACAATTAAAATTAAAAATTCAATAAAATTCAGAATAAAAATAAAGGATTCTTTCTTTAATTTGATAATTTTTTTTCAAAAATAGAAAATGGTTCTCACATAAATAAAAATTTATTACAATTAAAATTAAGAGTAAAAATCAAATTAAATAAAAAAATATAGCATTTCTCTTTTAACTTGAGATTCTTTTAAATATAANGAGATAAAAAAGTCAGTGTCACGAGCGAGATTCGAACCCACGACCTTCGGCTTGATACGCCGCTACTCTACCACTTGAGCTATCGTGACTTCGATCCCCTCGGGCACTAACTTCCCATCTCAACCCCACCTTTTGAATTTTCCCTCCTTTTTGCCATTTTTCAAAATAGGTTTGGTAAGTTCGAATCCCGCTCGTTACACTGACTTTTTATCTCAACTTAAAACCTTAATTAATTGAAAAGAATATATTTGGTCAAGCGGACCACGAAAACTAGTGAATACGAATATACCTGACTTGATTGTAATTACGGGATCAAACTATGTCAAATTGCAAATATTTATTTCTGGTTTTCCGAGGCTCTTTGAATGGCGAAACGGAATCAAAACCGATTGCCTCATTCCTGGTTGAAGGATATTTTTATCTCTAAAAGGCAAATTGTGCTTCCGGAAACGTGTCTCAGCATTTCAGAGTGAAACGCGAATAACCTGGGGATTTGGCAGTTTGGCCTTCTTTCCTCAAATTTTCTAAAATATATCATTTCACCCTCTAATCCTTTGGTAGACTCAATTATTTACCTGGAAAATAACAATATAAATAC